GCACATCTAGTAAACACTCGAAAATTCAAGAACCTTCGAGAATATCATGACGTGTTACTAGTGTCACGTGACTTCCACTGTCGAAACAATATTTTATATGGGCCTAATGGCCTTTTGTTATCCCTTGGAAATAAAATGAAAAGTTGCAACTCTTATTTTGACTCTCTTGTGGATAATCTGAGTTGTAAGATGAAAAACCAGATCCATACTTGTTTGTAAACAAATGTATTTTGCTTGTGTTAAGTTAAACTTGAGTGGGATGTTTGATGATGTGGTGTGTGCTGTTAGTTTAAATATTTCAACAAAAATTTTATTGTATAAGTTAATGAATGTAAAAGAAGAACTACATTTACTTTGTGTTTTGATATACAGGATGTTTGTTTTGAGAGGCAAAAGGGGATGACTTTGGTAGTCCAATAACTTCTGTCAGTTTGATCACGTGCTCTTATTTAATGTGGTTGTTGTTGTTTTTTTTTTGGGGGGGGGGTGAAGGGATCATTTGAAAAAAAAAAAGATGCTTAAGTACAAAATTACCATCCTTGAAACAGAATAGAAAATCCTAAAATTGATTCATATGTGATAATATATTTAAAATTTGTTACAACTTTTAGAAATTTCTAAGGATATCAGATAAACCTATTTTTTTTCTTTGATTTGCAGATATTTGGAATAATTTTATAATTGAACAATTCTAAAATTTAATACATGCATTGAATTTTCTTTGATACAGTTGTTATAAGATGTAAAATAATTAATTTCATACTTTTTGTTTCTTCACAAATAATTTAATTGTTTGATAATATTCTTAAAACACTGTAGGGTTTACATGTTTTACAACAAATTTTATTTATTTCAGGATTACCTTTAGTTGCCTCAGAATAAGTTTAGAGATACTGACAGCAAGTTGAAGGGAATGGCAAAAGCACTCAGCCCAAGGGAGACACTGCTTGATGCAGTAAAGCACAATGATCCTGATGATGTACTTGAGCTCATGTTGAAACACGTAGGTTTACATAATTTTTAAGTTTTAGATCCTTTTAAATGAAATTGAGGGTGATATTTTAACTTTATGTACATATGTGAATAATGTATATACATGTATTCTGTGTTGTGATTTATTTAATAAAACAGATATACATGTTTGCAATGATATTGTTTTGTGAGCCTGTTATTTCAGTAGCATAATGAGCCTTTATATTATGAGGAATTTAGTCCTTTAAAAAATGCTGTCTTAGAATTTCACATGCTCTCTTGAAATTCACATAAAAAATTGTATTTGATTTTATACTTTATACAAAATACAAATACCCTTCAGTCAGATACCTAAAGCTTGCCTTTTGTTTTTTAAACTATAATGAAAGTTCATTTGATAGGTAACAGAAAATATATTAAAAAAATAGATTTTAGTAGATTATGTTATGGAAATGGAATATATACAGGTACAGTATATTATCAAAGGTGTTGGGACAGTGCACTTACTACCAAAAAAGGGTTTAGTATTTTGCCAAAACAGATGCCCTAAGTAGAATGGGATTAAGTGCAATGAAATTCAAAGGTTTATTGATTCTGTCTCTTAGGCAGTGCTCCAAAATCTCCTAGATCCAATCAACTGTATTCAAGTGGTACTCTGGGTTTGCCAAGGCAGAATTTCTGTGATATGGTATATGTGTTATTATGATTTAAAGCATTGCAGCTTTGTTTAGAGTGTTGCAATGCAACAGGGCATTCATGTTTACTGTGAACTAAGCCCAGAACAGGCTCATGTCCTGATACTCTCTCTTTATTATTCACAGTTGGAATAAGTTGTATTCTATTTTTTTTCTTTAATTTTAGTTTCATTAACAGTATTGGTTGGAGTATATCTCTTTATTAATATTAATTTTTTTTTGTTATCTTAGTAAATGGGTTTAGGACTGATCTAAGCCTAAGCTGGCTAAACCTTGTGAAACATTACAGAGATTACAGCTGAAAATACCACGAACAGTGATGGTACCCAAGTGATTAAACAGTGTATTCCAATCACTATAAGTAAGAATGTAAGAACAGAATATAAACTATATTCATTACTGGTTGATTTCTAGTTTTGATTTATGTAGTAACCTTTTTTTTTTATCAGAAGTTAATATCCTAAACATACTTCAGATAGCTGTCAAACTTCATGTGATGGTTTTCAAATATTCTTCACCTCATTCTCAATGCTTAAAACACCACAAGACACAATTTCTTGCATTCATAACTGTAACGAGAAGCAAATGGAGTTTAATTTGTCCCACAAAATCATGCAGCATGGATTTTCCTGGGCACATTTGATATGATGGCCTGTTGTCCTAAACTGTTGTTAAAGCCATGGATGATAGATTTAATACAAGATATGCTATTTAGTTTTATGATAAATTTCAAGGTTTACATGAACTTAGGAGTGGTTAACTTTTTGGCAGCCAGGCTGATATTCTACATTATGCTACCCATTGTGAACTTGGATCTGAATATTTTGGCTGAAATGTCTCAGACACTGATATCTATAATTGGGAATGACAATTCACTGCTACTGAGCTATTTTCTGTCATTTCTATTTCCAAATTGGTCATCCACCAAATTCGTTCTAAACAGGTGAGGAAAATGTTGGAGGGAGGGGGTGTTAATACCTGAGGGACAAAATACTAGTACTGGTAAGCTAGGTTCAAGATTGCTTTGTTTGCTTTGATGTTTCTGCTAATCCAAATTGAATATGTGAGGCTTCTTTTAACTGTGGCTGTTTAATGGATAGCTGACCAATTGCAAAATATCTTTTCAAGTCAAAAGATCTGAACACCTTGAAAATGCACAAACTCCTTAAAGTGCAGTAGTGGACGATAAAAAAAGATCAGCATAGAGGTAGTTTTTGAATCCTTTGCCATCCACCTTAATGGTGTGTACTTTCTCAAATTTCTATTGAATTCAGTAGAAAGAATTTTTTCTTTTCTCGAACATTATTTTTATGTGTGAAATCATTTAAATGGAGCCTAAATTGGACATAAATCCAGATCTAATGCATTATCTTCCATTACATTATAATATCCCTTTATTAGGCAAAATGTACTGAAAAAATGGTTGTCACAATGCAAACAAATTTCAGCATGTATCAGTTTACCTTAGAATTGGAAAATAACAAAATGTATAGTAGAATAAGCAGAAATTCATGTATGTATGAATATAATATTTCATATCTGCCTTTTAAAAAACTCATTTTGTACATGTAAATGTTGGTCAGCAACTGATATGTACAAATGCTATCTCAGTATTTCTTGAAATGACCAGTTTGCACTTAACTGGTCTAGTCATTGCAATTATACACATTTTTATGTAACATTTGTTTAAATATTTCATGAAATGATCAGCTTGTATGTTAACTGGTCTGTAATTTTGATAATTGAAACATAAGCTACAGTACGAGAGTCAAATGTTTACTAATTATCCCAGTAGATGATAATATTATTATTTAGTGCCTCAAAATGGCCTAAAATGTACCAGAGTATGTGTAGAGACTCTGGCTCTCAGACCTCTAGTTTTTATGTTCCCAGGAGCAACCAAAAATTTCATTTGCTGTTCTCATCCCTATAAAGCCATTCCTATGTTATTTATTTTTTGTTTTTTTATTAATGGTAATAATATTTTTTATGATAATTTCCATACTCTTGAGGAAGTAATAATTATAAAATATTTTTGTTAATTACATGCTTGTGTATTTTGCTAAAAGTTTCTTACTTAAACCATTAAACTGAGAACAACAGCAGTTTTGTCCTGATATGGAAAGTAAGTAATTTTTTTAGTTAGTTTATACTTGCTTATATTCTTTGAATTACATACATTGTTTAAAACATCATTGTCTTTTCTGTAAAAACAATTTTCGTTGAATGATTTTGTTTATGATCCTAAACTATTGACTTCCTGTAGTTGCACACATGGTTTAGGTAGTTAGCTCAAAGATGTGTGACAGATGTACAAGACCAAATGAAGATTTCAATGCTGTTTATTTGTAATCCGTGTGTAAATATATTGTTTTGTAAATACTGAAAATAAAATGATGGGATTGTTTATTTTTAAATTGTTACTCAGTTACACTTTCTGTTTGATATTTTAGCTTTCAACTTAGATTATGATGGATACATATAGATTTATTTTTATCACTTGATTTCTTTCCCCCTCATTATATCATACACATTTAAAAAAGTTTTCGTAAAAAAAATTTCACTTTAAATTAAAAACAATTATTCAGCAGATCAACAACCCATTATAACAGATTAAGACATTAAAATACTTCCCCTACATGTAACTGAAGACTCGGTAAACCAGTGCTTTGAAGCCATTTGGGTACCATTTGAGTTAACACTGTGCAATACTTGATAATATATTTTTATTTTATGAGTACTGGATAACTTCAACACAATACATGCTCTATTCAGAAAGATACTCATCACACTACTGAAAAACCTAGTAATATAACTATATGATTTATTATTGCCTGGTAGATTAACCTTTGAAAATGTTTTCACACAATTATCATTGCAGACACAAGTAAAATCTAATGAAGTGGCAAATTATTTCTGAAGTTCTTCTGGATGATTACAGGAAAATAAAATAAATTCCTTATTCAACTATGATAACTTTTAAATATGTATAAAAATATGGGTGCTTATTTTTACTATTGGTCAATAACACATGCACATTCTCACACATACAATGTTTTTATTATTTGCTATCATAGTTCCCAAATGTTGGATCTATTAAGTGTTTGGTGTGTGTAGTCATTTGTTAAACCAACAGATTAGAAAAGTAAGATTGATTTTTTATTTTTTAGAACTCTAAGGAGTCATACTTTGACTTGAAGGAAGTCTTTTCGTCTTTGAATAAAGCTCAGTTAGATACAGTGTGGAAAAATCTGTATTCACTGTGTGAAAGTCATATGTGTACAGCTTTGACAGCAGGAACTGAAGATGATGGTGATGAATTTGCAATTTGTCCACCAGAGGTATGTTTTGTAAGATGATGGTGGGTGAATATTATGGTAATTATCAAAATCAGGTTTACCACACAACTCTGGATTTAGTAATATTTGCTCTTTACTGTTAGGATGTATAAAATGAGGTGTGAGATATTTTAACCAATTAGTCTTTATCTTCCTTTTTTTTTCATCTTGGTTAAATTGAGGAGGAAAATGAGAAGAGTGTGTGTGTGTGTGTGTGTTTAGTAATGTAGGTTATTGGCCTGAAAGTCAAAAAGTACAGTGCATTTAGGACAAATCTGGATCATGTTACTTTCATCTTCCCAACAAAGTACTGGGTTTAGGTTAAGATAGTTGAATGCCAGTAATATAAAATTTGATTGGCTGTCCCATGTGTTTATATCCAGTCATTGTTTCAATGATGGTAGGAAAACATGCTTTTCTGAGATGACAAATTGCCAAAAAGTTATGGTGAAAATTACTGAAAGAAATGATGAGGCTAGAGTAAAATAAACTTGACCTTTGAAAATATACTACAACCATTTTTTTTTTCAACAATAGTTATTGGTCATGTGACAATTTTAGAGTTTTTGTAAAATAAGTCAAAACATTCTCTAATTTTGAAGTGTAAATTTTTCATAATTTCTCTATAGTAATATTTCCTGGAGACATAAATCTGATTGTAGAGAAACTTGTTTGTAGATTTTAATGTATAATTTATGTTTGAAATTTAAAAAAAATCAAATGTTTAGCATGCAGTTTTAGTAAGAATAATGATAGCTTGCAGTTTACATTTATATTAGATATTTGCTCCTTTTTTGGGTTCAAAGGTTAATGAAATTAAAAACTACAAAATATAGATATTTTGCACTCTAGTACTTATGACCATATTTTAAAAAGCTAAAGGGGTAAAACATAATTGATTTAGAACTTAACATATAAATATTCTCCAAGAATGAGATTTTTGTCTGTTATGCTTAATTGTTATTACAGGAAGCTCAAAAGTCTTTGAAACTTTTGTCTGCTGTGGTGGCAATGGCTAAATTGACTATAAGAAGTGTTACAACTGGTGATAGATATCTTCCAGATAACCTTGTTCAAACTGCTGTTTTACTTCATGGTGAGTTAGGAAAATATATGTTTCCTATTTTGAGTCATCCTTTTAAAAGTATTATTATTATTTTACTTTTCTTTATTTTGTTTTATTTTACAAAATTGTAAATATTAATAAAACAGTATTTTCTCAAAATGAAATTCATTTATCGTGTTTTATACATATAAAAATGAAAGCAACTTTACTAACAGTAATCACTGTTTCTCTAGGGCTTCTTGTAGGTTTTCCTGACAGTCAAGATGGTCTACGTAACAGTATTGCACAGCTGTGTGAACTTTGGTGGAGTCATGATTTAGAGGCAAAGGAGCATCTTGGAACTAATACCATTATCTATCTGCTTCAAAGAACTCTTCTTCACAATAAAAATACTGTAAGAAATAAACTTGAAATGTTAGCTTTAATTTGTAATTGCTTTAAAATTATTTTCAGATCATATAGTATTTATAAGAATGAGAATTTGAAATTAGCACCTGCTAACCCACCAAATGCAGGTTGGTTGTTTTCTGGGGTGGGTATATTTCACATACTAATATGCCCCAATGACACATTCACTTTTATTTTGTTTATGGTGTATGGCTCGAATTAAAATCAAATGAAATTTTATATATTCTAGTGTTAAGCTGTATATACAAATACCTGTAGGATGGATAGTAAACCTCCTGAGCACAGGGAACTTTCTTGAGAAACAACTGATGTTACAAACTATTTGTTTGGAAAGACCACTAAATTTTGTGATATGTATTTTATTGAATAAAATCATTAAAAGAAGGAAATGCATTTTTCAATTAATTTAATAAAATAAAAAGTGTCAAGAGACTATTTCTTCTGTTAAGATTTTAGGTTTTGTAACAGGTTTATTTGATTTATTCAGTTTCAGACTTATTTTAACTGTTTATCTATTTAGTTTAATTAAGTTGTGTTGAATGACTGTGTATTATTTCAAAGGTAACTTAAAATTTTGCTTTTGATTCAGTTGTTGATTATTTTTATAGTTTCTCTTGTTTCATTAGCCTTGATGGCTAGGGGATGGAAAAATTCATTTGAATCCCTGAAGTATACATACAATTTCCACATTTTCATGCTCACATTTATTTACACTACACATAATTATAGCTTTGTTTTATTTAGTTTTTATGTACCATTTGTGAGTTTGATGAAGTAATATAAACATTATACTAAAATGTTCTGCATATATATATATATATATTTAATAATTTGCTTTGTGTGTATGTACAAACAATCATATTACAGTTGGATGATTTGTGAAGTATTAATTTCTGTTCACAGAAAAATGATGTGAAAAGAGTCTGGGCAATGAGGAACAGTCTGCTTGACGTTCTGAAAAGTGAAGAAAATGAGAGTACAAATATCTTATGGGAGCTGTTATTGAATTGTTCTACCTCTTTTTTTTATTTAAGCATTGAAGAGGTATGTTGAAAAAAAATTTGACTTATATTACAGGAATATTTCAAATTAATGCTTTCAAAATTTTGTTGAACAACTATTTCATGAATTTATGTCAGTAAATTTGGTATTAGACTAGATTATAATTCAAAGTTTAGTAGTATACAATATTTAATTTCTTAATTTAGAAGTAAATATTAAAAAACAGTTAAACATCAATTTTTGTGTGTCACGTGGTATGTTGAATGCAGAACTGGTTCAAACCAGATATTTGTGATATCAAAATACTAAGTCTATGGTTTTGTACGAATTGAACAATTAACAATTAACCAATTGAAAGCTCAGAATGTCCCCCTAGTGGCTTTCT